AAAAAAAAAAAAAAAAAAAAGAATCATCACTGCACCATCTCCATATCTCGTTCTCCTAAACATTTTGTGAAGCGTGGTTGTTAAGGTAAGGGTGCTCTCTCTTGTGGACTCAAAGTCCTGGTTGTCTATGGAGGATTCAGCCATGGAATGTTGGTTGCACTCCTTGCATGTATTTGTTTCATTGTATGTGTCATGCATGTGTTGAGAACTTGTTGAAAATTTTGTTTAGATGAAATTTGCTGTGAATATATTTTTGCATGCATGTTATTTTCATCCTTATTTTGCTCCGTTTGATCTTTAAGAGGGCTCCATATACAAAGGTGATCCTGTCCAAATTTTCTTAGAATTTTAAAACAAGTTTTCAAATTTGAAATTCAAACTACAATGAAAGGGAGGTTTGCTGGAAAGCTGAGTTCTCTGGATCAGCTTCGATGTTTTAAGTATATATCAAGATCTAACCATTGGATTTTTCAAAACTCGGTTTTAAATGAAAGAAGACATAACATGAAACAACTTTCATGTTTTACACTTTGTGATATTATGTCGTTTTCAAGCTCTTCCAGACGAGTAAAGGGACTGTCCTGTTTTGGAAATAAGGCATGGCAGTGGGTACTCTTTCTAAATTCTGCACTTTTGTGAAAATCTTTTTGAAAAAAGAAAAATGTTTGGTAAAACAAGAGAAACATAGCTTTCTGGTATTGTAGGGTACAAAATTTTAAAATGTCATTTGCTATTTTTAATAATTAAGTTTTTTGAAACTAGAATTTTGGAAGTGCTCTGTTGTTACTGGAAGATAGCCTGAAAAAAAAATTGCTGGGAAATGCAGAAAAATAATTTTTGCATAAAAGTTACCTTCCTGAAAACATAAATGTGTTGGCTTTAAATTGTAAAATGTCTCATGCAAATTGAGTTTGGAAAGAGGGAGAAAATATCCAATCTTTCAACTATGTCAAATCTGGATTCAATTTTACCATGCTAACTTCCATAATTTGTATGAATTTTTATAGAATTTTCTTTGATCAATGGGATACCATTCCAAAAAGCTATTATAATAAACTTCATTTCTGTGTAAAATAGTTTTATATTTTTTTTTTTTACTAATTATCATGGAATAATGTTTTATGCCTTGTTAACTTGTGGAATGATTGTGGTGCATAATGCATTGTAATTGTGTTTAACTCGTAATTGAATGTTGTGATCACTAAGTGTATGATTAGATGAAATTGTTAATATGGAATCATGGTGATTCTTTATTGTTTGCATATATTTATTTTAAGTAATTTATGAATAACTGTGTTAACCTATTGATTTACATTGATTGAAAGATCTAGGAAGTGTGAATCTCGGGCAATTATTATTGTTGCATGCATTGTTTATTGGAGATCAGGAGAATGTAACCTTGGTCACTGGATATTGTTTGTGATTGTATGTGTTGAGAGTGAACTTAGATGGCATTGTTCCATGTCCAATAACATTATTGGTCATGTAGGAGGTTATAGGACTCAGGCCTGAGTCTCTATGATGAATGAGTATTTATTATATTGTGATTTAGTACGTGTGAGGTAAGTACGTGTGGGCTTATACACGATGGACTACAAGGAGGAAGAGATGAGGAGAGTTGCGTGAGGTGATTTGCTTGGAAAGCTAACAAAGTTGGTGAGGAAGGACAAATTGGTGATATGGAGGACAAGGTTCTAATCTAGCAAGGAGTGATGTTTTATGGTCAGAGTGAGACTCAGACTAGGATTGACAATCATTCTAGTACCATGTGTAACAAAATCACACGGTGACTAAAATTATGAACTTCTAGTAAGGAGTGTGTTGAGGAGTCAATTCTATGACCATAGTTGGTACCTAGAAAGATTGTTGTGTATGGCATGATCGTCCTTGGGGGTATTCGCGCAGGGTTGTGATAGCAATTCTCACATAGTCGACTTAGCAACCTTGACTAAGTACGAACAATCATCAATTGGTAAGAGCCCACCATTGTACCGTGGTGAGGGGTGTACTCCCAACAATCATCTAGTCTAAACTTGTGTAAGACAATTAAGTTCGTGGAGTTCTAGTGGTCGCTAGCTAGTAGAATGAATTAAGAGATTTTATAATGAAAACGAGTGTAAATCAAGAGTGAACCGACTAGACAAATATATCATAGTTATTGTTAGTTAGTTTGTTAAAGACTTTAATTAAAGTTTGTTTTCTTCACGAAGCAATGAGACTCACCTTTACATTTTTCTTTAGATTCAGATGGCAGAGTCGAATCTCCACCTCATGCTTGGATGTTGCCATGGTAGATGGACGCCTGATGTAGTCAGGGGCGTCGACCATTTCATTGGCCACATGTGATTCATTGTGATTTCTTTGATTGATGTTGAGGATATGCTAGAGAGTGTTGAATATTTCTTGTGGTGGACACAACCAACTCCACCCTACTATCGCCATGCAGAGTTGGTCGAGATCATCATGATACCTTCTTCGACTTCACCATCATCCAGTGATACCAAAGTACGAGCCTCGGTCCTCAAGTCCTTCTTCTTTTGAGGACAACATGCCAAATTATGTTCCTTGATAACTAGAGATTTTTTAGGACATTTAAGAGCATAATTTGACTATTCTTTGCCCGATCGTGCAATTGGTAAGAGCGGTGCATACCTTCCCTCTAGGCATTAGTCCCTTATCGTTATTTGTGGGTGGGACTAGGGCTAGAGTGACAACATTACCTCATGAGGAGAGTGGGGAGCACATAAAGGCCGGGGAGGACGTGGAGATTGAGGAGGACCCAAAGATGTTAGAGAAAGAAGATGAGGCAAAGAAGGAGTTAGAGGCTTTGGATGCTACTGAGGCCTTAGGAGGAGCTAGGTGGTTGGTAGAGGAAGGCAGTGAGGATGATCCTAAGGAGGACATGGAGGGTGCTTCTTCTTAGGTATCCCATTCTTAGGACCCTCTCTACTATTATCTCTAACATCATCCTTTGTTCTTGCTAAGGGGTTGGGTTTAGGTTGATGGTTGCTCTAAATGTTAGGATCTTCTTTTGTTTTCTTGTATCTGTTGAAGTAGATCTAAGCATTTAGATTCCTTTTGCTTGTATATAATTTTAGTCATCGATTTTCATCACATATATTTTGAAACTCAATCTTTATGTTAAACTTATATCTCTTTTATTTTTGAGTTAAAAACATACAATTTATATTTAAATAATATTATTCTTTCATAAAATATTTTGAACGACTCGATTAATTTACTTTTTAGTTATCATGGTAACAATAAAACAAAATAAAATGATACATTCACATTCTAGTATGTTAAAAATGGGGCATGCCTTTTTATTAAAGGACTTATTTATTGAAATCATAGACAATAGGAGAGGTCAACGTATGTTTTTTTTTTGGAAATATTTTAGGCATCACAGCCGCTATGCTATGAGGTGGAAGAAGTTGCATCCAACCTTGTTTTCTCTCGTAATTTCTCTTGATTTGAAAACAATGTTACAAGTGGTTACACATTAAAGTGTAGTTGCCAATGGACTGAAAAAATCTTTTCCTACAAGTGCGGTTTTACAATGAAAATAATTTAGAAAATGCCCAATGGTTTATTTGGTTTGCTTATGTTTGATCTTTAATTACTGTTTCATAGAAATAGTATTATCTTTAAAAGTGAGGTTGCCAATATCAAGCGTGTTTGATTTGACAAAATTTAAATCTTAGTCGTGGTTAAACGTTAAGATGAAGATTTTTTTTTTTTTTTCCTTTTAGCAATCAATGGATCTTGTGGTATGCTTGAGGGCTTTGTAAGATATATGTACCTCATTTAAAGGTTGGGTACCTTGTATCCTTTGTCTAATATATTATTGTCTTTGGGTGATGAAAATAATAATGAAACTTTTAAAGTGAATAAGAGTAAATACAATAAAAGAGATTATTGAAGATTTTTTTAATAGATAATTTTGTATTTATAATTATTCTTATGATTGCAACTATCTAAAAATGGTTTTAGATTTTTTATTTATTATTAGCCACTTACTTTTATCTTATCTATTTTTTTTTTATAAAAAAAAATAAAATGTACTTTTTATGCTGCTATACATAATAGTGAGTGTTAAGTTCTTTGTCAACGAGTGAAATGCCGACACAACACTTATTTGACACGAGTTTTAACGATAACTCTCCAATTAAGAAGAGTTAGTGAAGCTGCCCTTTTCATAATGGGTCCTCTCCACTCAAAGTAAAAACCGTCTAAACTCAAATCTGCCTCTCGGTTCTTATACATCAAATCCCAACACGTTCTTCATGCTATTGCTATACCCGCCAGTTCAGGAATTTAATTAATATAATAAAAGAGAGGTGAGGTTACAGAAATTAAGTGGAGGAGTTAAATAGGTATTGAATGCCCCATTTAAACTCATTGGAAAGACTACGCTTTTGACCATGTCGTTGAATTGGCAATTCCTTGCTACAAGTCTCTATATAACATCGTGTCCAAGTCCATTCCCTTTCACCACTAACTAATCAATTCTTGGTTAGCAGGCAGGCACCAAAGATACAAAGACGGTCATAAAAACACGCTTAGATTTATTTATGAAATATTGGTAAGGCAAGACCCTATATTTGTATTTATATTTGAATTACCTTTAGTGGCCGTCCGGGATACTCCATATTCCAGATACGTCCAAGAACTGAAAATACTTAAACCCCGACCCACCCCTTTTTAAATACAGCTCTCCCCACAATAGAAGCCATGTGCCAGTTATCATCATCATCTTTGCGTGAGGGCGAGGCAAAGGCAAAGGCAAAGGCAAACATGTCGGGTCTTTTGATTCCCGTAAGCCCAACATTGGAACATGAAAAGCCCCATAAAAGCAGTTTTTCCCTGGCTCTCCACGAAGCCAAATGCATAGCCAACATAGCACTCCCCATGGTCTTAACCGGTCTGTTACTCTACTCTCGTTCAATCATCTCCATGCTCTTCCTCGGCCGCGTGGGTGAGCTCGCCTTAGCGGGTGGCTCTCTAGCCATTGGATTCGCGAACATCACCGGTTACTCCCTTCTATCGGGCCTGGCCATGGGGATGGAGCCCATTTGCGGGCAGGCCTTCGGGGCCAAACGCTTCAAACTGTTGGGCCTGGCCATGCAGAGGACGGTGGTTCTGCTCCTTCTAACTTCACTTTTCATTTCATTCCTGTGGCTCAACATGAAGAAAATATTACTCGTGTGTGGCCAACAAGAGGACATTGCCACCGAAGCTCAATCTTTTATTCTTTATTCTCTCCCGGATCTCGTGGCGCAATCACTGCTACACCCTCTGCGAATCTACCTGCGGACTCAATCCATTACCCTGCCTCTCACCTACACTGCGTCTCTCTCTATTCTCCTCCACGTCCCCATCAACTACCTCCTCGTCTCTGTTATGAAACTCGGAATCAAAGGCATTGCCTTGGGCGCTGTTTGGACGAATTTCAACCTCGTGGTTTCGTTGATTCTCTACATATGGGTCTCCGGGGTGTATAAGAAGACATGGAGCGGTGTGTCGTTGAAGGGTATATTGAGGGGCTGGAAGGGGCTCTTGAATTTGGCGATTCCGAGTTGCATTTCCGTTTGCCTGGAATGGTGGTGGTACGAAATCATGATATTGTTGTGCGGCTTGTTGATTAATCCCCAAGCAACGGTGGCGTCCATGGGGGTTCTCATTCAAACCACTGCCTTGATATACATTTTCCCGTCTTCGTTGAGCTTCGGGGTTTCGACACGTGTCGGAAACGAACTCGGCGCGGGGAATCCCAAGAAGGCCAAAGTGGCGGCACTGGTGGGGCTGTGTTTCAGTTACGTCTTGGGATTCTCAGCTTTGTTTTTTGCCATTTCGGTAAGGCACGTGTGGGCGTCCATGTTCACACGTGACAAGGAGATCATTGTTTTGACGTCGGTGGTGTTGCCCATCATTGGGCTCTGCGAGCTTGGGAATTGCCCGCAAACGACGGTTTGCGGGGTTCTGAGGGGAACCGCCAGGCCCAAGTTGGGAGCGAATATTAATTTGGGGTGCTTTTACCTCGTGGGCATGCCCATTGCCGTCTGGTTGGGTTTCTTTGCGGGTTTTGACTTCAAAGGCTTGTGGCTCGGTTTGTTGGCGGCTCAAGCCTCTTGTATGGTTACCATGTTGTTCGTGTTGGCTCGCACCAATTGGGAGGGTCAGGTCCAACGAGCCAAGGAACTCACTTCCTCTGATTCCAGTGATGATGAAGAAGAAGATGAAGAAGATGAGGATGAGGATGAGAAATGCGCCTTCAGTTCATGCGCTGATTCCATGGTTTGATTCATCTTCAGATTCTTTTATGTTTTGCATTCAAAATTTATAACATGGATTCATTCTTTCTACTAATTCTAATTGTACATTCCGGATAAGAGGCAGAGCATAAATGCATTCATTTTTCCGTTCAAAGGAATGCGTTTTGTTTCTGTTTGCATTAATTACATAGACATGCCATTTCTAAAGCACCCGGTTGTTACATAAGAATAGACGTATGAAAATCGTGGAAGAAAGGCTCAAAATAATAATAATGATTCTAAGGTGATTGGGATTGAGAATATGCCAAAAACAAAAAACAAGGGAAAAAATAAAAGGCGTGGACACTGTCTGCGGATAAGATGGTTGGTGGCCACTGGGATTGCGCGTTTTAATTAGTCGTGGACTTGTGTCGGTTGGTTGAAGACGAAATTAAAATTGCTAAGTCGCACTTCGATTACTCTGCTGCCTCCTTCAGGTGACTTCATAAAAGTTAAAAAAGGATTCCACACCTAAAATTTTAGAATGTTCCTTGCTTGATATCAACCCAAGCACCCTCCACGATGTTTCTTATCTTATGCTTCAGAGGGGGAAGAAATTGAAAGGAATGTGAGAATTGATTAGATAAAATTAGAGTGGAATAGATTCTAATTTACAATTGATTTTAAATTAAATGAGAAAATTAATATTTTATATAATTATTTTTTTATTAAATAAATGTAATAATTATTATTAAATAATTTATTATTTAACTTTAAATTATATCATTTGAAATTAACTAATTTTTTATTTAAATTATATATCTAAAAAATTAATTATGGAAAGGGGTCGAATAATACCGACAGTGGAAGAACTTGATAAAAAAATTTGGAGGGACTAAAATAGTTTTTTAATATAATTTTTATATGTGATTTTCAATTATATTGATAACAAGAAACTTTCATGTATATAAATTAATATTTTTGCAATTAGATTGATGTGGTTTAATTATTTATTTTATATTCATATATAAATTAATTTTAAAAAATAAATGGGTTGGAATTAATCCTCTAAGGCGCATATTCATATATTAGGGTTGTAGAGAAAGCAGGTGGAGGAATGAATGAATTAGTTACGTAGGTTGTTTGGAAAGAAAAGAAGGAGAAGCAGTGTGTCGCTAACGCTGACGCTTGTTGCAATTTGGGCAACATGATACAAGGTGGTACGAGTAGGAGTATGTGAGGGGCAATGGTTCACTAAAAAATCAGGGATAGTGCCAGACACCTGTAACGAGTGAGATAGATGTTACGTTTATTTTGTTTAATCATCATTTTCATATTAGGTTCAAGACAGTGATCCTCCTCGCCGGCTTGGTCAACCTGCGTGTATATATTTATATTCCATTTAAAAATATAATTAATATGCAAGTATCCCTACACTGAGATTTGAAGAAAACAAGAAGAAATTAAAGTGTCTATCGTTACTACAAGACAACGATAAGATAATTACAACGTGATTTTTGTGGGCGGGTGAGAATCATCCGATAAATTATTCACATATATGCGTCAAAGCAATGAACACAGTTGGAATTTTGAACAGAGAGATCATGAAGAATAATCTGGCTAAATAAAACATAGGGACGGCTATCGCTACCATAGTACCATGTTTAATTAGTGTTTTGTGTGAGTCCCACATATACGTTCACTTCGTCTTAGTAATTGTTCTTATCCCAATTGTATTATTATTAGGATTTACATTATTTATAATATTTTCTTTATTATATCATTCATTTCATCTAACACTGTTTTCTTCATTTTCTTATATCTTTCATATTTCACCGTTTCACGGTAATTCAAAAATTTAATAATTTTAATGTACAAATATATGACTTTATAATATTAATTTTTCTTGTTATTTCAAAGTGAGTGTGGTTGGCTTAAAACTCGAATAAAAAAATAGTAAAAGAATAATATTAGAATGTGGGTTATGGATATAATTCAACTTTATAAAGTTAGCTTAAACAATTTGTAAGATAAGAAGGATTGTCTCTCACTTATATATTGTTTAATTGTCATAATTTCTAATCAATGTAAAATTTGAATTTTTTTTGAATATCCTAAGATATGAACAAAAGTTTCACGCAATAAAATGATCTATTATGTTTTCTTTTCCTGTTATTTTAGACAATTGTTCCTCCATTATATATGAAAAGAATTAGATTGTTCCTCCATTAAATATAAGAAGAATCTTATGTTGTTATGGAAGTTAACTATAAATCAATAAAATAATCATATTACAAATTAGGAAACTAATCAAGAAGCTATACATAACAAATATCCTAAATATATGTCAAAAGATATTAACAGTCTAAATATCTTATATGTATATTATTTTGCCACTAATATATCAAGGGCTTTGGTAAAAATGTCAATCAATTGATGATCTATACGGATGTAAGATGTGACTATGTTCCTTGCTTGAATTTCATCTCAAACAATATAATCAGTACAATATGCAGAGTCGCTTAATTATCACAGTATAATCTCATAGGACGATCATATTGTACACTAAAGCAAAATAAGATGGATTTTAACCATTTCAGTTCACACGTAGTAGTAGCCATTGAGTGATACTCTGTTTTTGTTGAAGAATGTGACACTATAGGTTGCTTCTTAGTCTTCTATGAGATGGGTGGAGACCCTAGTAAGACGAAATAGTCGGTCAATGATTGACGAGTCATCAGACAACTAGCCTAGTCACTATCACAAAAATCATAGATTTGCCAATTGCAATCACAATGTAACAAAATACCTTGACCAGAACATCCTTTGAGATAGCGTAACACTTGCAATGCAACTCCCTAATGATCAATCAGAGGTGCACCCATAAATTGTGCTAAGATATAAACTGAGTAGCTCAATTCTGGGCGACCTATTGTTAAATAAATGAGGCACCCTATGAGCCACCTGTACCTTTTGGGTTCAAAATATAACTCCCCCTCACTTTTAGTCAAGTTATGGTTTTGTTCAATTGGAGTCACAACGGGTTTTGCACCTAACAAAAATAATGTCTAGCAAATACTTCTCTGATTGATAAGCAAGCCTTCAGGACCACGAGCTACTTCTAGGCCAAGAAAATATTTAAGTGCACCAAGATCCTTCATGTGAAAGGAGTGCTTATGTACTATTTGAATTTGACCACCACATCATGTGAAGAACCCGCAATAATCAAATTGTCGACATAGACAAGAAAAAATAGTGGACAAAGGAGGAAGGGGATCTTCTAGTAAAACATTGGATTGACCGTTACCATAGTGTCGAGTCCAACCCAATGAGAAATTGATGAACTAGTTCATTTTCACGTTCCTTTATCAACGTAACCTTTAAGTCACACGTACACATGCAAGAACATATGATTGATAAATATGTGGCTAATTCGTTCCAAAGCTTACGTAGTCGACCATAATAAGTGACCACCGAGTCACCTTGTTGTTCGCAAGTTGAGATTGTCCTCTTGAGTTTGTTGATACGAGGTCCTTTTTCAATCGAAAAATTAACGCTAGCAAATGTCATCCTATATGTCTTTCACATTATTAGTGAGAGGTACTGTGGATCGAATGGATGCGTCGAGTATGTTATGTATCCAAGCACCGAGCATGGAATTCACCTACACCCATTGAGGCAAGTCAATGGAACTTGTCGTTGGTGTCGTAATTGAGCCATCAAGAAACCCAATTTTGTTGTTTGCCTTGAAAACATTATAGACCGATCGAGCCCATTCTCCATAGTTCCCTCCACGCAAAACTATCAAAGAAATAACAATGCTCGTTTTTTATGTTGGATGCAAATAGAGTGGGGATGTAGTGTCAACACCCTTATCACCCATTATTGTGAATGAGAAAAAAAATTATGATAATGATAATTAATATCACTCTTGATACCATGTCAAAATATGAACAAGAGTTTTATAGAAGAAAATAATCTTTTATATTTTTGTCCGTTATTTTAGACAATTGTTCCTTTTCAATTTGTAGCTCTATTTACTAACTCTTTGTGATCACTTTACTTCTTCCTCTATCTCTAAACTAAAAAAAATCATTGAAAACTACCTAAGATTGAACAATTTCATTCATTAAATAAAATTGACTTAAATTACTAAATTTTGACGAGAACATGATTGTAATTAACGTATAAAATATGTTTGATAATTGCTCAAATTGGATTAAAAAAATATTAACATCTTTGACAGTTATCACTATATAATTCCAACCACTATCCAAAGATATTTGCCACAACTAGTTTTTCATGGTTTGGCTAGGCCCATTTAACCTATCAAGTCTAACTAAATTGACCTTGTTCTTTTTAAGTGTCAAAATAATGAGTTCAATCTAGCCTAACCCACCAAGTCATTAGGTCAAGTCAATTTTGATAACTCTAACTTTTAATAAAGTGATAAAAAAAAATTATATTTAATTAACTTAAAAAATATTATATCCTCTAGTTCAAAATAATAATAAAAAATCAACGCAAATTTTAACTTAGTCCATAATCATTTCTATTTTTTTTGTAATTAGATTTTTGGGTATAGGTAATTGTTTGTAAATGTACCATTAACCCATAGACTTTGTTACAAAAAAAAAATTCTCAATCATATTATTTTTATATGTAAAACTCGAACCTGAAATATTGTTTAAGAGGAACAAATCTTGTATTACTCGAACCAATGACTTAATAGTAATGAGATATTGTTGGATACTTTTTTTCTTTCTTTCTAAAATTAATTTTTCTAGAATGAGTTCTTTTAAGTTCACTTTTAAATATTTATTTTTAACTCAATATTTTATGTCTATCAAGCTTTTAATTAATTTTTTGAAGACTAATTCTTAAAAAAAAAAAAATCCAAAATCTAAAACAAATGTATTTTGTACATCTTGCGTGCCGCCATTTTGAGAAGGTTGGTGGAAAACACATATTTTTGTGGCCGCCCAAGTCTAGCTTAGAATTGGTCTAACACAAATAAAGCCAAAGAATGTCCTCTTCAAAGTTTAATTGAAGTCAATCAGCTCAACGACTTCACCATAAAAATATTTACAATCTTGGTCGTCATTTCACGTCCATCCCCTCGTGTTTCTAATATGCGTATTTAATCCTAATTTTTTATATAACTTCGTTACCTAATGCTCCATGCAATGTCCAAACACCACAAAATGTGCATTGCATGATATAATGATTGGATAATATAATGTTTAATAAACATTAATGTGTTTGCAAGTCCAAGTCGAGAGACATGTCTCATGTTTCACTTGTTTAGGTATGGCTAAATAATTAATTAAATGGATAAAGTCCTTTGGCTTGGAATTTCATTAGGATTTTGAAACCTTTTAAATGCACCACAAGAATGCTCCCATTAATTGTTTCCATCAATGAAACCATCACGTAATCAATAGTAATGAAAAGGAATAACGGGGAATTGATAAAATAAAAAAGTATTATTTAAACGCTACTATGATAAACATGGGGGGAAAAAGAAGATTGATTATATTTCATATTAATAAAAAGAAAAAGAAGGGAAGAAAAATAAAATATTTGTTAAACTTGGAGATGATCAAAGAAAGTTGTATTTTGTGGAAGTAATCGAGTAAAGTGATAAATCACAGTTCAAAATTTTATTAAGAGATAATATACACTTATGTATTGTTTGAATAAAGAGAAAAGTGGAAAATAAAAAATTATTTGAGAAAAGATAATAAATATTTTTAAAAAAATGTTTATGTTTATGATGTTTGAATCGAAAGAAGTAAAAGAAAAAAAAATTCACTTATTTGATTCAGTAGAATACCGAAAAGAAAATGATTTTTTCTTAAAAATTATATTTATCCTTAATTTATGAGATTAAAAGATAATAACAAGGTCAGAACTGTAATTTGCTTTGGTCACATGTTTTTTAGTTTTTTTCTTCGATTTCTTCTTATGTTAAAAGAGGAGTTTTTTTTTAGTAGATCTCACATAAATATTTTATCTTTTCTTTACTTCTCTCTTTAATTGGATAACGTAAAACAACTTTTCTCTATTTTTTTTTTTTTAAATCTCTATTGAACTTAAAAAAGGTTAATGTTTGATGGTTTCTTGCCGGTGACAGTGGTGAGAATACTTAGTAAGGACAAATTACATAACTACACGATGCTTATTTAAATACAAGTGTTTATAGCATTTAAAGAGAAACAATTGAAGACTTGGGCCTGTTTTTGTGTATTGAATATCTCCTATAATTAAAAGGGCAAGACCCCGAATATTTCATGGCTCATGATATATACACTTCCTTTTATATACTTTTCTTTTTTTTATAAGTTATTTTCTTTATATTTTTTTAAAAAATTATAAAATATTGTAGTTTTTTTATAAATTTTATATTTTTATACCTTTAACTTTCAATTTATTATTTTTTTATTTTTTCACACACTCTTTTTTTTTTTTTAATTTTCACATGCTACTAAAATAAGTGAGGTGAAAGAAAGGTAAAAGGATGTATGTAAAAATTAAAAAAAGGAAAAAAATGTATGAAATTTTTTTTATTAAATTAAATATTGTGAATGTAAAATTTAAAAAAAAAATTTTAAAAAATTTTAAAAAATTTAAAAAAATTTAAAAAATTTTTAAAATTTTAATTATTTTTTTTAGAAAGGAGGTGTACTTATAGATATATCGTGAACCATATCTCATGTATATATTATTGGACTTGGGCCTTAAAACGAACTACTATGGACCCAAAAATATGTAGTCACAACT